TGTTGCGTTTTAGATATATTTATATTTCAAAAAGAATATACTTGAAGTTTCGAGATTAATCTTTAACGCGCGCGCGTGACGTGGTATAATTATCAATTTGAAGCTTGAGATATTATGCGTACCAGATGGCTGTCAATTAATGCTTGGCGTTGTCTGTTAGCCTTGAATAATTACGATACCTCTATGGATGTATTTGCTGAAGATGTCTCTACACAATACATTTAATTAAAGTACGTATGTACGACGCCTATGTATTATACAGTGGCGTGTCTGTAACACTGTACCTACTTCGAAATATGTAAAAGGAAATGGAAGCTTTCAGGTCATGATGCACGGAAGCATCATATCAGTATAATTGTAACAAAGAGAAAGATTTTAACGTTGTTTTCATTCCCTCGAGAAATCAGAGTAATTCTGTACACTATATGTATAGGTATATAATTTTCTTTATTGCACGCGCTTTGATAGATATTTGTTTACTTAAAAATTTATTTTATTTTATACGACTTTATTCATTGTTGAAAATTTAATTAAATTTATGCATAATTATTCTGTATAATTTTCAAAGTTAGACGAAAAACGGTTTGTTGAGCAAAGAGATTCAGTTCACGATGCGAGAAAGAGAAATCATCTCATTTGATACAGAAATAATTGCGGAAAATTTAATTTACGTCTTAATTCCGCAAATCGTGGAAGCGCGTGTCACTTTTCGCTCTAATTTGAAACGTATGAAAACATAATCAACCGATTTCAATTCTGATTGTAGAATTTTTCTAGTTGACTGAAAAAATTTATTTTACGTTTCTGATGATAACTAAGAGTAAACTATCGCTCATCACACAAGATTAACTATTTATAAATGAGCTGTAAAATGTTACACGATCATTTGCGTCATAAAAAAAGTAACGGTCCACGTCTATTTCCGGGTTAATGTAGGATGGTGGCGCAGGGTAGAAAATTTTTATGATCATATAGATAATATTCTGACATTAAAATGAAAACTTTTCCGCGCACGATCGTGGATTTAGATTTATGTTCCATTGACACTCGATGCTTCCAGCTACTTTAATGCATTCTATTTCGCTCGTCTCTCCGTGCAATTCACACAGATTCGCGGAATCGGTGAGAGGCAAAAATTAATCACGGCTCAAACAGTCGATGAAATACGTTCCATCGTGTTAACGCTAAATATTTTCTGGGGCACATTAAAGGCGGGTTAATCTTGAGCTTCATTTTTAAAATCACAAATATACGACGATCGCCCCAACATTTTATGCACTTCTTATATAATATTGTAATAAACACACATAAAAAGGTTTAACTCTCAACTACTAAAGATTAAATATGAGATAAACATAACTATATTTCATATTAATAATTGACAATTAACGTTGACAGATTGAAATGTTCGCTTTATATTTTACTTATTTCATTTCATTTTGTCAACGACTTAATTTATAAGTCATTTTATTAATTTTTTCTTATGATAACTAGAAAAGTGATAAATTATGGAGGAGCTGAAAAGGTCAGTACTGGGAAAAGTACGCATCCTTCCTGAACACTTTATGAAATATCTGCGGTGGAGTTGATGTCGTTATGGTAGTTGCGAGTTAATACTGCACAGTTTACGGGTTTTCTACTCAAACTACGCTGAAGCGCAGAAATCTTCCGATAAGTTTCCCAGCAGTCTGTAAATAATTTAGGAGGAGCGCTTTTTAAAGAACATATCTTTAACCATCTCTCGCTTTTGAATGCAGACAGATGCAAATCTCATGTTTATCGCGACTCGAAAACGATGATAATGTATATCGGATCATCATATCATGTGCGAAAGTAACAAATGCCACATCTGAAGCGTTAGAAATTAGAATCGCCGGAAAAAAAAAAAAAATACGCGCCGAAGTTACTCATCGCACGAAGAGGACACCGTCTTTGTTCCGGATCTCCGTCCGATCGATCTATTTCCAACAAATTCCCTTTTCGTTGAACGACACTCCCAGCAGCTTGGTTTGAAAGCAGATCACCGCCTCTCAATCGCTTCGAGCCGCTTAAAAACTCAGCCCCACCTCAATTACCTCTTTAAATATATATGGCACTCTTCAAGCACAATACCGAAGATTTCATGCACAGGAGTTTATAGTGCCAATCGCTTGAATCGTGTATTAGCGATTATGCGTGAAAAAGTCACTGCTATTGGTGCAACGAGGTAGGGCACTGCTATTTTGTGTCGTTTGACTGTCGCCTTCCGCTGCGAGTTTCACGACATTATTTCGTACCACTTGTGTTATCGTTATATGTTGCGTTCACTTGCTGTCAAGTGCAGAGTTCATTTTGTTTTCACTATTTTGTCGTGTTTTATGATTACGCTTGTTTCCAAAGCAAAGATCAATATTGCACTCTTATTGAAATTTAAACAAGAGACAGTTTGTACCGCAGAGGATGAACTGACGTCGTTAGATCAGCTTTGAATATTATTTGCACCTCCTCGCACTAATGGCAGGTTAAAACAAGTAACCGCCGTTCAAAATTAAGGCTCTTGTTTACTCATCATTACAGTCCACTACTATCTCAGATTATGACGTTAAAAGCGAGAAAATAAAAATTAATATTTTTGCAAAATATGTTGTATTTATAGAAACATATTTCAATAAAGATAACTTAGGATTGATTGAGAAAATATTTATTATTTTGTAAATTATATAAAAAAATTTTCTTTTTATTTTATTAATAAACAACCATATCTCCGACAATAAATTATGCATAACTAAAAACAAAGTAAGCTATTTTTCAAGTATGTCAAATTAATATAGAAATAAATATTATTTTGTAATTTTATCTTCAAATAAGAAGATAGCCTCCAGTATATTTCTATTCTATTAATCGGAAATGTTTTATTGAAAAATATTTTTATCTAAATATAATTTAGAAAAATTTTTATTGTATGCTTCTCCCTCCAGTAGTAATGAATGAACAGGAATCTTAAGATGATGCCCTATATAGCGCATACAATGCTTTTCATCATGATTATCGACTCATGAAGATCGCTTACAACTCGAAATGCTTTTATTAAGTAAAACCGGAGCAGCTTGTCGTATCGCGCATAAAAATTCGCGTTATTAAGAGAACGAATGATGTACGTTGCAAAGAAACACTGGCTCCCGAGGATTTCTCGCGTAAAGAATGCTTTGTTACTTCCGCGATACGACAGCGCAAATTACGCTGTCAAACTGGCGATGCGAAAATTCGGACGAAAGTGTGCTCCAGAAATATTTTTCATGGAGAACAAGAACGTGAAAATAGCTTGCATCGCTAATGTAATTGGCACAGTCTGCGAGAAAAGAGCACAGGTCACGGAATATTTTTTTTCCAGTAAAAAATTTTTTTGCCTTTTAAAGTTTGTTTTTTTTTTTTTAATTCAACATATCTTATTTTTAATTGGAAAATATATTAATCTAATCAATCCAATGATATTTAAATAAAACGTTATTCAGTTTATTTCGCGCTTTCGGTGTGTGCTTTAATTGAGAAAAGTTTTAATAGAAATGAGATAAATGAAACAGATTCTCGAATTAACAGATGCCGATTAAAATTAACAATTTTCACTTTTAATAATTTTATATTAAAATAAATGCTCGTTATATATACTTTTTAAGAATTATACGACCCTGTCAATTGCATTGTAGCGAAAATCACACAATTATCATGTTGTATTATTTATTGAAAATCCATTTGATTTTATAAAAAAAACGTACGAGTATATCTGCAAGGTAAGATTAATGGCTCCGTTATCGATTTTATGGAAATCGCCATTTCGTCCGAACTGATTCTCGAATCGCCTCCAAATTTGATTAGCGTGTTCGAATATACGATGAACTTTGACGTGTAAGTATTTTCATAGCCCGAACATCAGAGCCTCTGAGTCTCTATGGAAACGACATGATCGTTATGTGAGATATTTAGTCCATATTTATTAATAAATTTGAGAAGCGCGTTTTTACGCCGTTATATATGCTAGCACCTATCCCTAATTGCGAGGTTTAAATTCTTTCCCCATCATAAATCGATGGATATAGATGGTGTACGCGTAGTGACGTAGATTGCAAAATCTAGAGACGTGCTCTTGTCCCAGTTGTTCGAGAGAAGTAGAACGTAAATAAGAAAGGGGCAGTGGGATGAAGGTGCTACATTACGAGGATATTTGTTCTGTCATTTTGCCGCGGTAAATCGCGTTTCTTTTCCCTGAATAAAAAGCGCGGCATTTTCATATTGTAATCATCATCACGTCGTTGTTGTGCCGGTTGCCCCAGAAGTACCGCGCTTACCCCGTTAAAAAATTTCATAATTTACTTTATAAAAGACATTATATAAATTAATGTCAAGATAGATATGAATTTAACATAGCAAACTTTAAATTGTAACTTATGACTCACTGACATGAGATTAAGAATAAGTAACTTTTCAACTCAACAAAATTTGATCTCATGTCTCTTGATATGATGATATATTCCTCTCGGAATTAAATATTTTTAAATAACTTAAAATTATAAATATTTTATTATGAAACTAAAACTTTATTTTAAATAAAATGTAATGCGCCTTTCCGTTTAATGCGGATTTAAGGAAGAATTTTATTCAAAGAGAGAGAGAGAGAGAGTTATTTAGTTATGGTGTGAAGAAATTGTAAATATTATTTTTTCTCTATTTAATCTATAAAAGTTCAGACTAGGAATTCACGATTCACAAAGATTTACGAGCAAGAGAAATCGCGAGACCTCTGGTGCATCCTGCAGTTCACTCTCGTCTCTGCAATTTTGTTCACGACACGGCACCCTCATTCGCTCGCCCCCGTCGGCCTTTCAACTTTTCTTATCACGTAGATCCCACGTGCATTAAAAAGTCACGCTTCTCGAGAGGTCGCGTTCGACTGCAATTATCACCGCGGTCGATCGCGCTTTCTCTCTCGTTCTGATAACGTGATCAGAAACGACTGAAATTTCCAGCATCTGCACTGGTCGAGCCATCACGTGGACTCCTTAGACAGCGGCGGAGCTTTAGGCTGGCCGAGAACCTCGAGGCCGCGCGTCAACAGTGCCATCGACGTGGCCGGCTTCCTATCGCAGGTAAGTAATCGTGCCGGGAAAAATCCACACAGCGAGATCGATGGATTACGTGAGGTGGACAGCCGCGTCCTCGAACCTACCCGATCGATCGACTGGCGCGATTTCGCCGCGACCTTCTCCGGAGGTGGAGCGGACGTAAGTCCGTCGCGTAGCGGCCGCGTTAATCGTGCCGGCCCATATGAGACCTGCAGTTTCCGATTATAGCAATCGGGAAGATTGAAATCGGAAATCAGTGGGATCGGTGGGCGAGTTCCAAGGATAGCGTTTAGCTTTAACTACACGTTACAAATTGTTACAATGATTCTCTGTAATAACTCTCCTCGAAATTACGTTTTGATTGATACTCGATCGATGATCGAGAAATAGAATTATTGAGAAGTAAATTGTCGAAATTTGAATATGTACAGCGTATCCTATGGAACTCAAGCTGGTTCATTATACCTAACATGACATTGACGATACGATACACGATGCATATTGGGACTATTATTAAGAATGTGTGTTACACGTATTTTTTAACAAAATAAAAAAATTATAAGTTGTTTATATATTATATATCTGAACGTGATACAAAGAATCTTGTGAGGATTAAAACTTGAATAAAAAATAATTTTTTTAAATTAGAAATAGATACGTTTTCAAAATTAATTAAGATAAAATGAGAAAATTAACTATAAAACTTTTTAATATAAATATTAATTTTATTAAACTATTTTATATATATATATATGATATATATATATATGTATAATATTTATTTTTATATAGAAAATATAAGTTTTTAGTTCCAGTTATTTTTTGCAGAAGCAATACACCTGATACATTCTTAAGAATAAGATACACTAAGACAATATATTATAATAATAACGAAATATATAAATTTATAATTTTACAATTCATTTTCAGTCTAACATTTCAATTTAATCTAAATGGCAAAAAAAGATATGTAAATTTTAAAAAATTATGAGATAACGTAAATTGTAAATGGTAAATAGTGCCTACGTTTTTTTTTTAAATTAAACCTGACGAGATAAAAATGAAGCAAAAATTTATATTAATTTCATTCGATATTTTTTTTACAAGAACAAACATCGCGCGATCTTCCGATAATTGATTATTTTACCGCAACAACAGCTCGCAGACTATTAATCGTGATCACCGCGACGAGCTATACGCTCCAAAAATTGCACCTCTCTCCACATATCGTTGAACAATCACCCGTCGACATTGCCCTCCCATTTTGCACGATTGTTACACGATTGTTATAGTTTCAGATTGCGCGTTTCGGCATATATTGTTAACTTAACGCAACCAAGTTGAAGGGAATAACCATATCCCTCAGTGCGACAGTTATTTCAATAAATAATGAACACGAAAGAGTTCGTGCGAAAGAGATACCTCAAACGTCAAAGTTCAAGGTAGTCTGTGGCGAAGTGTAGTGCATCGGATGATCGATATGTTCGTGGATTACTTGTAAGGAAATGGACAAATTCATTTTCGCCGCATGAACGATGTGTGTATTACATTTCCAAATCGGGTTTTTCTCATTCTAAGTCGGCACTGAATGTCTATATCTTATACTATTTGTCGTATACACACTTTGTATATTATATATATCTATTATATAAATACGTATAAAATTTGTATTTATATTCACACACACATTATACTGGGACACTCTGCCGTCACAATTGGCACAGTATTACTAACGAGAATTGGCTCGCAATTGGCACAGTACTAGCACAGTAATATCGTTAATAATACAAGGTTCTTTGCTTGGTGTTCTTCAAGGTCGATATTGCACACGCGATTTGTTGCATTCAGCGTATTCTTTGCTACAGCACGCGGAATTGACAGACTAAATTGTCCGGATAATCAATCGTTGCCAATTTCTGACAAATCACAAATTTACAAGACAAATGTATAAATTAATACCTCGGTGCTCTTCTTGCATTATATATCGGTATGTTATATCATTCCTGCGATCTCTGAAACACCCACGAGAATTCGCGGATTGATCAGCCCGAATTCGCTTCGTTGCGTTCGTGACATAAAATCGATCATCTCGCAAAAAAGTACATTCCGAAGTACTGCGTCGCCATTCGCAGTTTTTTAATCCGTATTTCGAAAATCGAAGCTATAGTCTCATGCATGAAGGAGGACAAGCAAACACAAACACACACACACAGCACACATTTACAATAAATAATAATCCAGTAAACATCAATTAATTCAAAGTAACATCAATGTTATAATTTCACACTGAATGATATAACTGTTATGTATAATACATATATTATACTTATTACATTTATATTGTCGAATACGAAATTATCCCTTGCAGTAACGTTTGCGATGTTACTATAATGTTGCTGGAATAATTTATGCTGTATATGGAATTGATAATATATTACGTTTAGTTGGTGTTTACTGGTAAATATATTTCTCTCGAGAAACGTTACACCCTTCAATTTTATAAACGTTATACTCTTTTTCCTTTTCTACTTATACTACTGTTTTATCACTATTTTATGCTACCACATTACACTCGTATTACACTAACTGTAAATGGCGCACAAAGTGAAAAAATATCGACGAGAAGTCTATAATTCTGTTAAAAAGAGGAAACTTAAAAGCGTCATCCCATCCGCTCTGAGCACGTTCGACGCCTTGTGATTTCAGGAATTTCTGCGACGCCATGGGTCCACGTCCAAATTGTGCCGTAAGGTTCGCAGTGCAGATAATTTACCTCTCGCGTCAACGAATCGCCAACAGGATCCTCGAAGGAACTCCAAGGACGAGAGTACCGAAGGCGACCGGGAGTCCTTTCTGAAGCCAAATCAGGACGACAAGTCCGAGGACCAGGATTCAAGGAGGCAGAGCAGTCTCGAGAGCGCAACGAAGGACAATACGGAAACGTCGTTGTTGGACCCTGGTCATCAGCAGCCTTCTTCAAGGTAGATTAAATTTAGGAGACGTTTTCTTGCACCGATTTTCAATTCTCGCTCGTCCTTCGACCCGATATTTCAGCCACGTTAAAAGCGTGCGTCTCATCGGCATAAAATATTCGTGCGAACCGTTATGGAGAGAGAACTAAAATCAATTTCCTCAAATTTCAACGTATTATGTTTGTCAGATACTTCAGCGTTCAATATTATTCAATTTTCGCTATTTTCAGAAAAGATTCCGCGCTCGTAATAATTATGATCAAGCGAATATTCGAAACAATATTTGATGTTCTAATACCAATGCAATATTCACATGTTTAACCCAGACTGAACTAACTCGCTCGCAGCGAGTAAAATTATATATATCCTTTACGGATATCTAACATTATCGTGAAAGCAAAGTAAATTTGCTCTAAGAAATTTGCATTTGCTATTTGCAGCATGGAGACGATACCCTTATAAATCAACGACTTGGACGGACACGCTTCTTTATCCTGTCTCGCCAATAGTAATCTGTTATGTGGTATCTTTCAGGAATATCTATTACGATTATATAGATAATAGAAGAACGATAAATGTTCCCGATCGTCGAAGATTTAAGTCCCTCTCTATTCGGGGATATAAATAAATTCATATCGATCGTAGAACGCATATTGTTCCAACTGCATTGTGATTTTAGATAAACGGTGTCCTCGGTATATCTCGACTCTTCTCGTTCTCTTATCATTTATTACCGACCGTTTTTGCTCGCAAATCTCTAGAACGATTTTACGAGCACTTGTACAATACAATAGAGATCACCAAAATGGCGCTGTTCCATCATAGGGTACTGCATGTACAAGTAGTATTCCTCGACGTGCTCCCGTACGCGTATTGCATTTCAATTGCTGCACCAAAAGAGCACGGTCGTTCTATAGTATTTTTTTTTTCTTGCAGGTATTCGCTTACATTTGTGTAAACGAAAATCATGACAGCGTCGCAGCAATTTTATGGAAAAAATGTTATTTATGTAAATATTGAATAATAATGACTTTTATTTGTGATGTTTATTTCCACAGCTTTCAAGAGCTCCAGAAGTTCGGAATTATGAGAGATATGAAAATTTTATAAATTGAACAAATCTCAGTTACAATGACAGGAGGGAAAATCGACTGCGAAGTCGAAGGAATCTGTCATTCAAATTAAGATCGCAAGTTATGCGAGGTATAGCCCGTCAAGTCTTCATAATACCTACTGATGGATGTATATTTCATTCAATGCATACAAATTTGCCAATTTCATAAAGCTACACGCTCGGGTGCGCGCATCGCAGTAGCCTTCTATACCAGTTTTATATTAAGCTCTTGCAACAATTATGGATTATTAAATTACGCACTTACGCATATTTTCACATATTTCTGCAATTGTGATATTTCGCGTCGGTGGTATTGGCAATTTCATTAAACACCATCGTTCCTTTGTCAAGAATACAATTCGTGTTCGTTTAATATAAATACAGTTTAACGCTTGTGTTCATCAACATTTATATCAAATTAAACGTCGTATTCATGCGCACATATAATTTCAGAATAAATACGGTAAATTTCCTGTTGTTTGAGATCCACATGATCTATAAAATATTTGCAATTAACCAGTTTCAACCTGAAAAATCAAGTGTATAAATTTTAACTATATTATATACGAAATATTACACCTCTCTTTAAAAATCGATATTATTATACATCTCAATTAGCATTGAGATAAATTGTTATATTTTCTTTCCCGTAAAAAAATATTTATAAAATCATCATCGTTTGGAGTATCTGATAAATAAAATATAATTAGGGAATAAAGCACACACACATATATACACATTAGAAAAGAACATTCTCAGATGGGGGAATACATTTAAAGATGTTTTAGCTATATATCACTTAAAAATGTTAGTCAGAAATTCATTCAAAAAGGTATATCAGTCAAAAAATTTTGTTATAGTATATAAACCCTAAGTGCAAAAAACAAAGCATTTAACTAGGCTGGATTGTTCCACCTTTTGGTAAACTTCAGCTCACTGTTTTACTCTCTTATGCTCTTACTTTTTTATTCTTTTATTTATTCAATAGGTAAATTACCACATAGTTTATTTGAAGCAATTTTATTTGAAACAACTGAGCTTATACAACGCAATTATCATATTTTGCTGCAGTTTTAGGTAAATAACTTTTAAACGAGTAAGTGAATTCAAACGAACTTTTGTACGTACATTTATTAAAGTTTTATTAGTAAACATAAAAAGTTTTATTTAATTTGTGATGCTATTTTCTTAATAAATTTACGAATAAGTATTACGAAACACGATTTTACATGAGAATCAAGACAAATAAAAAAAAAAACTTTTAAACCGATAAGAGGATTGTGTTCAAATTTTTACACAGACATAATAATAGAATATATAATCTATGAAATTTTTATATTTTTGGTAACACTTCAACACGTATACGTCTTTAATGTAAATAAAAATTGTAATCCTTAAAATATCAACAAATCAATTAAAGAAGACTCTCGAGAGGTTCAAATAACAAGAATAGACAGGCTAATAGAGAGTCCTTTCAGCTGTTATTGGTGCGATATATAAGATATGTTAAAATGTGAATATTATATACTACGTAAGTAGTAACCCCCCCATTGCGCGTCGAACGTTCGTCGAACTTAAAACGCAACTCTAATCAACTACCGTAGTAATATCACAATTATTTTTTTGATGCATTTAGCATCTAAAATGGATCTTAATAATATGTTGAAAGACATATATTAAATTCTTAAATTATAATATTTAAAGTAGAAATAAATCTGAATCTAAGAAAATTAAGAATTGTGAAGAACATCACGAGTTGGCGTTTCGTCCCGGCTTCCGGGATTCTTAATATTATTAAGATCCATTTTAGATGCTAAATGCATCAAAAAAATAATTGTGATATTACTACGGTAGTTGATTAGAGTTGCGTTTTAAGTTCGACG